TGTCATGAAAGTTTGTACAGATAATCACGCTGCACAAAGGATGAGTCCTACTGACAAATTTAGGATTGATAAATGGCAGTTGTTCGTGCCACCATATCAACAACTACACAAACATTACCTTCAGGATGAATTGGGATTACTTGGTGATGTGGTGGACCTATGATCACATTAGTTTTGGTCCTACCCCTTGTCTCATGAGAAGAAGGATTCTGTCATTTTCACGGTTCAGGGGTTCTAGTGTCATTCCTCTGTATTTAACTAAACATTTTCTGGGCCAGAGGTGCAAAGAACCATACTAGCATCCTACACGGAGACTTAAAAAGACAAATAAATAAATATAATTTATTGATTTTTTTTATTAAGATCCATGAATTATCACGTTGGAAAATGTTGAAAAACGCCCCTGATTTGGATCCACACCAACATTTATTGGGTTCTTCCACCAAGTTTTGTGATGATCACTTCAGTAGTTTTTGTGATATCTTGCTCACAAACAAACAGGGGTGAAGACACAACCTCCAAATTTGGCTACATTTTCATTATACCAACCAAAACTTGCTCCTATTAATTCTTTTTTTTAAAATAAGCCTTAAGAGGTGACGGAGAACTTTCACTTCACTCTGTACGTGAGGTATCAAGTAATTTTACTGCAGAAATTCAGAAGTATTCAAAGGGAAATTTGGCTACTTTTTCATTATAGCATCCAAAACTTGCTTCTATTATATATTAATAAAAACAAATCCTGTGGTTGGCCCCCGGGTAAAGGAGGACTTGAATCTCAGATGAGATAATTGCTAATTAGCAGGCGTTAACCTGCTAACGTTCTTAAAAAAGATGATTCATGTAGTGAGATCAGAGTGCTAACAGACCCTGATCCTCCATCATCTGTGTGCCCATGTATAACACATCCCTATATTCACGTTTGCATACCAGGCGTAAAAAGTCATGCGCTTGTGCTTGAATGAATCTTTTTGTTGCCTTCACTGTCAAACCAAACTGAGCCACCAAGTCCGTTGCGTAAGATCTGAGCACCTGTTGATCATAACATCACCTTGTGGCAACGATCCCGCGTTAAAATTAAAAATGACTGGACTGCATTCAAACTGCTCCAACTTTGGCTGGATGGGATTAGTCTGAGGACAAAGCTCGGTTAAGTTGTCTCTGGGCAGCTTTACACATGTCACACACCTGTTCATTCATGCTGTTATTGTCTATTAGCGCAAGACATGATGCACCGTTATGACGTTACATGCACAGGTACAAACATGACCCTGTCAGATTCACTGGAACTGTGACATATTTGTTGTCCAAGTAAAGAGATCTCCTTGCCTGAAACATTAAATCAAATATCTGTTTCTTCACCGGTGACAGATTCAGATATTTCACCCGACAAAAACGGCTCCGACGTTATCCGAGGTCTCGCATTACAGATGGCGGCTAATTACACTTGGTGTTTTGGCAGTGTTGTTTTCGCCCCCTCTCAGAGCTGACGACACGAACTACACAATGAGGTCATGGTGAAAAAACAAGCGCAAACACATGGAGCACAAGCATTTTTAGAGCCACTGTTTTTTGCTTCCTCCAGGGGAGAAAGGGCTGAGAGGAAATTTCCATTTCCATGCCGCTGTCTTTAAAATTCTATTTAATTTACACCCTGTCTTTATTTAGCTTTGGACTGTGTTATTGTGAAACTGCCAGCAGATGCTGGGATGATAACGAAGGAAAATGGGATTAACTCAAGTTTTATCGTATCAAATTGGATTATCAGATTTAGTTTAAATCTTGTTTTTCATCAGATTTAAAGAAAAGTTTATTTTGGATTTATCAGCGAGAGCTTCGATCACAAAGCTCATTATATTCATCAAATCTTTTAAGTACATTAAGTGCATTGTTGGTCTCATTCAAATCTTTAAAAATTTGTTTTGAACAGTGTAACAACAGTTCAACAAATTATTTTCACTTCAGTCTCTGAACACAAATCAGCTCAGTTCTGGACGACTCTTTTGGACATTCCAGCGTTTCCAGTTTTGCTCCAAGTTTCCAGTAACAAATAACCCAGTTAAGAAACATCAGGATCATCACTCACCAGACGTACCGAACTTTTTAGCTACAAAACCCACTCACTCAACTCCCACCACGACAGTTAAGGACTGATTTGGAGACACGTCAAATCCAATGTGAAGCGATTTTTCCTGTCCCCTCAGTGAACCTTTTTAGGAACTACGTGATGTATTTCTGATCCATCTCGGAGATTTTGCAGATACGTGATACTTGCACATGCAGGAATCCCAGCGGTGCCGCGTAACATGTCTGGGACCCAAGGATTTGTTTGCGCAATCTCAACTCAAATTTGAAACCTCCAGCTTCAATGCACATTTGTGTTGGAGTGAGATGATCGACTGCAATTAAATAAGTAGAATTACAAAAACACAAACAGTTTTGTATCTTTATATTGTGCATAGAGGCACAGACGTTCCCTACATCTGTACAAACATACACATACATTAAGAGCAGCTCTGTCTATCGCCTGTAGCCCAGATCTCTGAGTAAGTCGATGTGGAGTCTGTGTTAGACGGCAGGGAATTACCTCAGCTCTGAATCATGTGGCGCCATGCCCAGAGTGTTCACAATGCAATCACCCAGCCATCTTTCTTACACATAACTGTCAGAGGGCCTCACACACAGGCTGGACACACACTCCAGGAGTCTCCGACACATCGTTTCTAAAGCTGCGATTGGAGCGTGTCGAGCTGATTTAGCTGCAAGTCGGGAGATTTTCATTAAAGTCTCAGCGGCAAGCCATGGACTGATGCTGAAAATATTTTTTTACTATTTTAACTTTGTCTTCCTTTTTTATTGGACGGACAATAAGCACACACACAGATAAAGACCGCCAAGTTTAGGTGGTTGCCAATATGAGATATTATATCCCACTTAGCGTGAGAAAACTTTGATTGGCAGTGGCATTTCTAATAAAAAGTTAAATTTCTATGTAGTTATGGTGGAGATATGCGTTTATTTAGATTAGTTTTTGAATTATTTAGTTTTAACTTGTAGATTTAAGTGTTATAATAACCTACAATTATATAAAAACAGCAAACCCACAGTGTACAAATTCTTTAAAATAAAAAGCCTGCGTCCAATATTCTACTAATGTAGATATACAAGTACAAGTATAGTAGCATCAATAAATTAGAAAAGTAATATTTTAGTTGTTAAAATGGAAGTTCAAGTTTTGCCATTCATTTATTCTAGTTAGTTATATTAGTTGGCACATTGAAAAATGAATGGGAAACCATTTTGTATAGTCGTGAAGTGAAAACAGATCTGTCCTGGTCTTTTTCTCATAAAAACCTTCATCATTTTCATCATTTTACTCCAATATATTGTTTTAACATCGTGTTCATTGGCTGTTTGATTTATTTATTATGACTTCATTTCACAAATTTTTCCTTTGATTTCTTGTTTTGCTTCTCATTAAATTCTTCCCCAAAAAATGTCTATCCCCGCTGTCTGTGTTAATGAAAGAAAACCATTAAAGCGCAGATAAAAGCTGACAGCACCATCTCTTCCTGACCTAGCAGGAAGGTGTTTATTGTCAGGGGTGCACTATTAAAATTGACATCATTATTTCGCGTTGCCAAGTTACAATTGACAACATAAAAGTGAGAACATTGTTGTGAAATACAGTCTGTAGCTGGAGCCGCAGCTCGGGAGCTCAGCTAGTTGGAAACATTTCGATGTGAGTCGATCTGGATGGATGATGATGTCATGCCTGTGGGCAGTATGTTCTCTCTTACATCAAACACTCAAAAATGAGTCCCAGCATGCTTTTGTTTCTGCTCTGCCTTTTGGATGTATTTATTTAGTTGAACATAATGCCGAAAAAGTAATAAATTACTTGGCAAAGGAGCTTACAGTTCTTTTGCAGCTTACAGCATTTATCTATTTATCATACTTTGATCGAAGTCAGTGAGTCACTGAATGGCCCATTCATAAACCAGATGTCACAAAGACACAGTGTACTCCAAACAGACCTTGGTAGGTAGCCACAATGCGTTTGATTCATTGCTCGCTAAGTCCCGTACACTGATGTTGCCCCTTTTTCCGATCGGTCTCCAGGCCCAAACACATCAGACCACAGATCAACATCTGTAAAACAGACAAAGTGGGTACGCAAAACGGTTGCGGCACTCCAGTGCCTAAATCCTCTGGCAGACTGGCTGCCCTTCACCAAAAAAAAAAAAAAAAGTTCAGGTTCTGGTGAAATTCATCAGCCGTGAATAACGGTCAGTAGCTTTGGGAAATTTGTTGAGCCAAGCTGAAAGCTCAGGGATCTGCATGAGTTCTGGCACGTCAAAGAATTTGTAGCATAATGGCGCTTTGTGGCTGATGGTTCGACGAGATGATGATGACTCTATTACCCTGAGTGAGTATATAATAATACGGAGGGCAATGACAACATGGTGCTGAGCTGTACAGATGACAAATGTGGAACTGCAGGTGTAGCAAACATGTTTAGACTTGCACAAACTCTTTTGCCATTTGAATTCCAGACTCTGCTCCTATTGTTGATGCGTCTTGTGCTTGTTTAATACAGTATTGATTTATTTTCTGGTATCCAGAGTCTGTGCACAGGCTGTCCAGGATATGTAGGACATCAAACCGAGGCCGGCAGAGTAATAGTAGCATCCATTCCCACTAATGTATAAATTCTCTGGCCAGAAAAATGTAAATAAAACATTTAATCAATCATAGAGTAACTCCTGGAATGCACTAAGCTTCACGGACAGATTATATAAGACAGAGTAAAAGCATCTGCATATTTTTTTCTTTTAAGTATTTCAAAGTCAAGGGCGTGGATTCATATTTGGCACAGTATGTATTCCTGTACTGTTTTTGTTTTGGAAATAAAGTAAAAGACACATGGTGCGGAAAAAGCTTGTGCTTATCTGCAGGATAACAACATCTCATCCTTTCCTCTTTGATTCATTCAACAGGTAAAAGAACATGCGATCCCGCAGCAACAGCCTGGAGGATATAACCAAGGCCAAGCTAGTGCAGGCAGACACACGCAAGCGATCTGCCGAACGAGAGGAGCCTTCGGGAAGGGCCGAGCGCCGCAGCAGATACCGCGAGCCGCCAGATGACACCGGCACCATCCAGCGGAATCACAAAACGGCCAAGAATAGCTCCTGCTCCGGCGGGAGCAGCAGCAGCAGTGGTGCCACGAAGGCCGGTCGCAGGGAGAAGGGCAGGGACCTCTCCCGGGATGACCTCGTCTTTCTGCTGAGCTTACTGGAAGGAGAGCTACAGGTATAACTGTGGAGATGATGCATGGAGAAAACATGAATGTTTAGCTCTGAGAACATTTGCCAAAACAGCAGCACACAGGCCTGCAGGCATTGGCACTGACCCCGTTCAGACATATAGTCAGACACAGTGGATCAGCAGAATAAAAGTCTGTGTTGATGGAGCTGAGGCAACTTCCTGTCATTCTGGATCCAAGAATCTCCCAGAGGAGTTGTTGCATGATAATTCTTCCTTGATAGAAAGTCCACAGCTTCTCTTTTTGACCAAAACATATTACATTGTGCCAAATTGTATCATCATTTACAGATCATAAAGTTGAATCTAACCAGATTCACCATTCTCTCCAACTGCAGGCCAGAGATGAAGTGATCACAGTCCTGAAAGCAGAGAAAATTGACTTGGCCCTGCTGGAGGCCAAATATGGCTTTGTCACACCACAGAAGGTCCTGCAGGCTCTGCAGAGAGACGCCATCCAGGGCAAGTCTGACGACTTCCAGGAGGACATTTATGAGAGGCCCATGGTTGAGGTAACACCAATATTTAATTCAAACTAAAGTTTTTGGCATCAAAGATGACTGCGGTCAATGACTGAGGTTTTCTGCCTCCTCCGTCCACAGCTGGATAAGTTGGTGGAGAAGCAGAGGGAGACGCACCGGCGGATGCTGGAGCAGCTGCTGATGGTGGAGCAGTCGCACAAACAGGCCCTGTACAAGCTGGAGGACGAGAAGAGGAACCACGGCGAGTTCATGAAGAAGAGCGACGAGTTCACCAACCTGCTGGAGCAAGAGCGCGAGAGGTCAGTGCACTAAGACGTAGACACCGCTTGTTGGTTGGGTTTTTCATCAGGCTCCCATCACATGACCCTCTTCTGGAGGAAGACAACATGGATAATGAATTACAAGTGTTGCTGACCCTGTTGTCTTTGCAAACATTGAATTCTGCATTTATAAATAATACAACTGCTTCCATGTGAAGGAGATATTATTACTATGTATGTGAGCGGCCTTCTGAAAAGTGTGACCTAGAGGACTGGGATTGGGACTTTATTATAACTCTTATTTTAGCGATGTCCATCATCTCCTCACCATCCGAGTGTCTTAACGAGTCAATGTGAGCTCGTTTCTCAGAGCTCTTGGGCCTTTTGAATCATTTCAATCATTGTCTTTTCCTTGACCTTGTGATGGAGGATTTTCAGTGGCCATTGAAGACACTGAGACCAGATTGACATGCTCATGAGCAGTTTTCAGCTTGTAAAAGAGTGGTCCAGCTCCTAAACCTCTGTAATGTTGGCATTAAATCTAACTAATATTCAGCATTACGTTAGAAAATCAATGCTGGGGAAGTCGATCATTGTTTTTTAAGATGACTTGGAATCTGTCCTTTATTTTTCTTGAACAAAACCAAGAGTTTTCGTCTTTTTCTGGAGACGATAAAGGACTTTGTAAACAGAATTTAGGTCTGAGCCTCAATACACAGATAAGATTTACATCTTACAACTCGGCGTGATGGCAGCAGTGAGGATATTTAGTGAACCAGAGTGAAAAAACATAACCCTGGAAAACTCATACACGGCTACAGGGAGTCTGCATTTCATTGGCACGGAAGTTTGCAGGCAGGAGCTCATGATGAGGGGACACTTGAAAATCAGACTGTTTATGCTGCGGTTGCATAATGTGTTATGATGTTGGGATTCTCTAAACTGTGCAAGTCCTTAGGAATTTATTAGCAGTGCTTGGATTTGTACTTTTGCCTGTGTTCAGATTTGAAGATGTTCATTGTGAGCATCTAGTATTTAACTCAAAGCATTGCGGTGCCTAAGTGCAGCCTCACCATGCTGCTGGCAGGGAGGCAACATCTTCGTCTGATCGCGACAGCAGGAATCCTCAAGTGCTATGAAATACAACTAAGCTGTGTTAGCTGTGCTAACGGCCTTATCCCAGCTGTAATTCCATCTGTGTCACGTTAGGAGGCATTTTGCTCCAAGTGTCCTGGATTAGGAGACAACTATTTCAGATTAGTGCGGATGTTCTTAACGCTTCCAATAAAGAAAACGTAATCAATAAAAAGCTGTAACGTGACAGGAACCTGGGTTGAATTAGACAAAAGTGCCGTTCAACATTGCCAGCTGAGACGGAAACGGCTGGAGGCCTGAGGCTGAAACAAGTCCCACTGATTTCTTCTGAGTGTCACCGGGCGGTGCTCCATTTACCGCTTCCTCAGTAACATCACATATTCTTACACATACACAGACACTGTCCATAAAAACACATGCTCAGCAATTTACTTCCCAAAGGAAACACAGCTGGACATCGCCCCGTGACCTATTTGGGACAATCACATCATTGCGCTTTATCCACATGCCGAGTGTTTGACTTGGACTAGAGGCGCGGCGTGACGACGGCCTGCGCTCCGTCACCGGGAATGTCAGGAAGGACGGGCTGCCATGAAAAATAGGCCTCGGTCCAGGGTCCAGCTAATTACCGCGTGAGAAAAGGCAAAAGATTTATTCGACTGAAAGGAGAAACAAAAAAAGAAAAAACAACCTAATGGCTATGAGAAGCATCAATCACGGTGCCTGTTTAACAAGATGCCAGATTACCATGGAAACAGTTGATGAGTGTATTTTTTCAGCCTCGGGTTCGCCAGTGGACTTCGGCATTAGCGCCTATACAAGGAGGCGAGTAAAAACGTGTGTGGGGCGGTGTTCAACATCTGCTGTTGTCATCTGTCTCTAGTGGTTCAACAAGGCGTTGTTTATGTAGCTGAGGACTCTGCCGTGAGTAAGAGCGCGTGCAAAGTGATAAGGTGAACGTGTGTTCTGAGGCGTCCTCTTACCTCATTCCCTCCCTGACTTGTTTGTCCAGACAATCCTGACATGAGACATTATAGTTTTCGGTGCCACCATAATTACAAGTTATGCTATATGGCGCTGCTGCTTTTTTGGAGCCGAGCTGCATTTGTACATTAAACTTCAACTCTTGCTGTTACTTTGGGTTTAAAGATCATGTCTCAGAAGTTTTTACTTGGATATTTATATTATTGCAGTTTTTATGTACGATATTTACCTCCACCAAGGAGATTATGTTTACGTCTGCTTTTTGATTAAAGCCATTCAATTTTGGTGCAGATCCGCATCAGGGGTCGGTTCCAGGAATGATTTTCACTTTAAATTACGAGATAGGATGTTTTGCACATCTCATATTTGGTGCTGATCCAAAATAAAATCTGTCTCTAGTGGATTATAAATGTGGTTTCATAGGTGGTCTGTTGGCCTTATTCTTTTTGAGTGTGCTTACTTTTGATCGAGGTTGTTAACCTCTTACCTGACACCCCCATTCTTGTGACACAAGCCCAAAACTAAAAACTGTCCTTTAACCCCTTTGATTACAGTCACAACCCCGTCCACCTCTGAGTGACCCGTAACTCTCTGAGTGACCCGTAACTCTCTGAGTGACCCGTAACTCTCTGAACCCGCAAAGCTACACAAACTCTTACAGCTGATGCAGTGATATGGGTCCTAAAATACATTACACATTGATACATCTCTCCATTTATGGTCTTTTCTCATGAATGTTGTAAATATCTCTCTCGAGTTTTTTTTCCCAGTTAAAAGAGGTAGTTTTTGGTAGTTTTCCTCACTCTCACTGAGGGTTAAGGGCAGAGGATGTTGCACCTTGAGACATATTGTGATGTCCAAATTCCTAAAAGACAGACCAGAGTCGGGGAAGCCGATTAGTTGATGCAACCAATTTGTGGTTTTATGGGGATAAAGAATGTTTCTTGACGTCTGAGGTTGTCAGCTGACACTTCAGGAACTCATTCCACCCGGGCAAAAATACCGTTCTGCACATTACCAACTGCAAAACCACAATTTGACATTCTAACACCTATTATACACTATGCATAACAAGGTGTTAATAAGTGACCTTTGGAGGTGGTGTTTCCTTTGCACAGAGCCAGGGCAGCAGTCATGCCCCAGTGTTCCCACATCAAGCATCATTTTTTAGGGTGAGTGTGAGGCTTTTATAGAAAATATGGTTAACATGAAAAAAAGGAAAAAAAAAAGTTACCCAGCAGTCAATATAACTGGGGATGTGCTCTGCTGTTAAAACATCAGGAGCTGATGTCAAGCAGGTTTTAACAAGACGTGCAGAAGATATATTTCTGTCGTATAACAGTCCACTGATCCTCTAAAGATGTTGAGGTAGACATGTCATCAAGACCGCTTTGGGCAGGGAGAAAGGGAGAATCCCAGAGGAGCTTAAGTAAACGACATTTTCGTCCTTCGCCCGAGCACAAAACCCAGAGTTTGTTCAGCGGCTTCTGTTCTGCTCTGCGATCTTTCCAAAACATTATTACAGAGTGCGAGAAAAATAACTGCAAAGCCCAATAAGCTTTGACTCCTAAAAGGGAAAAGCCACTTATCGCTTGTTTGAGGAGAGCCAAAGCAGCGCTCTCTGTGTTTTGAGAGCGGCTGCGGAGTACGAGAGGCACCGCGCCGCACCAGGCTTTCATTTCCCTCTGTTAAATGTTGTGTGATGCATTTTAGCTGCATGTAATCATTTCCGTTCACAGGGCCCTGGAAAGCTGCAGTTTGGGAAATGGACAAAACCTTTTCTTTCTTTAAAAGCACGCACACACACACGCACACACACACAGACACACACACACACTCAGGCCTCTTTTTCCACCATATTCCTGACTGACCTCCTCCCTGGAAAAGCATGTAAATCCAGGCTGGGGTTCGGGGATGATGAACCCAGTTCCTTTCTGATTAATTGTCGATCAAGCAGCCGCTCATGAGTGGTGACCTCATTGCGTGGCGGGCACTGCAGGAGCAGCAGGGGTGTGAGAGCAAGAGCGACATCCTAACCATCCACAGATGTTACTTTAAACTATGACTTCAGCTCACAGATATATATATATACACACACACACACACACACACACGGCAGGCCTTTTTAATCTGTGTTCCTTTGTAAGGAACTGAGGGGCAGGGAGAAAACTTTAAGATCATCCGTGTCCTTTGGTTCAGATGCATTGAACCCAGTGTGTTGATACAAGCCAAGAATCAAAGTTCCAATTCATCCTTCCATCTTTACAAAACCTCACATGCTGACATCTGCAGCATGACGGCATGAAACATGACCTCTGAATACCAGAATCCTTGTGATGTAACCTTGTGTTTACCAAGCCAGCTGCTCTGGGATCATTTAATACCAAAGAGAGAAGGGAAGGCAAAGTGTCTAATGTTACAGAGGCCAGGGTTTTTTTTTTGATGGAATTCTTACTTGCTGCTGTTTAGTTGGGTTTTTCATTAGGTTTTTAATAGAGTAAGTGTTCATATTTGGCAGCTGCACCTCACAAACTCAGCCACAAAAATCATAAACAGAAAAAAAGGATTATTAAAAGGTGAAAAGTGCTCACTGGATACTTATGACCAGGAAAGGACAGGTTTACTTTTTTTTTCCAGCTCTGTCTCAATACAAAAATTGGATTTGTGGATTTGGACGCTCTGATGGTTCCATCTGTTCATACTGGCTGTGAAAAGATCCTCCGTAACACGATGCCAGTGTAAGAGACGTCTTCTTACAACATTCCCTCTGTGTTTCCCTGGACAGTGTTCACTTGCTGAGTGGCGCTGAGTAAATAGTAAAACAAAGAAGGAATGTTGCCCTAAAAAGACATTTATAGGCCACGAGATAAAAGTACAAGAAAACTTCATTTTCAATGTATTAATCCGAGGAGAACTGTGTGGCACTCAGTCGAGCGTACACCTCCACCTTACCCCAACCG